GCTCCAGTGGTAGAGCGCTAGCCTTGAGCTGAAGAGCTGAGGGACAGCGCCCAGGCCCAGAGTTCAGGCCCCATGACCGGACCCAAAAAAAAAAATTCTTAGCCAGGCCCCAGTGGCTCACACCTATAATCCTAGCTACTCAGGAAGCTGGTATCTAAGGATCTTGGTTTGAAGCCAGCTCGAAGCCAGTGCAGCAAAGTCCTTGATACTTTTATCTCTATTAAACTCAGAAAAAGCCAGAAGTTGTGCTGTGGTTCAAGTGATAGAGCTCTAGCCTTGAGCAAAAGCAGCTCAGGAATAGTGCCCAGGCCCAGAGTTCAAGGCAGGGTGTGGGAAGCTTACATATTCCCCCCTTGGATTTGCCTTCCAACTTTTTTCTTCAGTTACACAGAGTAAAAGTAAAGGGCTAGGAATGTGGCTTAGTGGAAGAATGCTTGCCTAGTATGCATGAAGCCCTGGTTCAATTCCTCAGTAGCACATAAACAGAAAAAGCTGTAAGAGGCGCTGTGGCTCAAGCCTTGAGCAAAAAGAAACTCAGTGACAATGCCCAGGTCTAGTTCAAGCCCCAGGACTGGCAAAAAAAAAAAAAAGAGTAAATAAAAGTAGAAGCCGGGTGCCAGTGGCTCATGCCTGTAATCCTAGCTACTCAGGAGGCTGAGATCTGAGAATTGCAGTTCAAAGCCAGCCCGGGCATGAAAGTCTGTGAGATTCTTATCTCCAATAAACCACCATAAAACTGGAAGTGGTGCTGTGGCTCAAGTGGTAGAGGCTTGCCTTGAGCTGAAGAGCTTAGGGACAGCGCCCAAGCCCCACACCGACCAAAAAAAAAAAAAAAAGAGTAAAAGTAGAGATAATGCAAGTTTACTCTATTTTAAGAATTGGCAAAGAGATTATATATTTAATCCTCAGCCTACCAATTTCTCATTTCTTCTTACTTTGAGGGTATATTCACTCATTTCCTCCATGGTTTTATAGTCTACAATGTGCAAGATACTACCAGAGACGATGAAGATTCAGTAGCTCCTTAAACAGATACCTAAGGACATACATAATAGGCAAGCAAAAAATAAACAGAACAGGCTAGGTGGGAAATAACTAGGAAGAGAACAGAGAGAGTAAAGGTTGGGACAAGCCAATGTTTTACATGGGTAACAGAGTAAGCACATAGTAAGTTAAACAGGTACGTTTCCAGAAAGTTGATATTTAAAGAGGCTACTAGTAGCAGGGCATGATTACAGGACATCATGAAGGGTTTTGGACTTAAGAGTAAAGCTGCCCTAAGATTTTTTGTTACCAAGACAATTATTATTAAATTCAGGCTTCTAGGAATGCTCATTCTGGCTGTGGAGAGCATTTACTGGGTAAA